TATATATATCTTAACTTAAGAGGGAAAAAAAGGTATTTAAACACTCTTAGCAGTACCTGTGACACTGTTTCCTGGGTATTTTCATCTCTCACTGCCCGCTGTGTCTTTTTTAAAACAGGAAATCCAGCACCGAGCCCTAAGAAAAGCAAACGTGTGAAATTATTTGGAAGTTGTGAAAATAACAGGATATAAAGACCAGAGAAAGTCTTAATAGACTATCAAGACTAAGATACTGTGATTCATGTATCATGAGTGACCTACCAGGGAGTTTTATTCCAATACCTATGCCTCCTAAAGGCACACCTCCAGGGAGTTTGACCGGCAAACGTGAAGATGGTGTAGGTGTGGGTGTGGGTTCCTCCGAGGGCATATGGAGCAGGGAGCGGGGATTTTTAGGTGGCCTTACACGAGGGTTCTTAACAGCAATTCGTGACCTTTGCACAGCAAAGTCCAGCACAGGGCCATCCACCTGTAATGCCCCAAATGTCTGTTATGAACATTGTTTGATTTTAATGAAATTTTTTTTTTATGCCATATAGAAACAATACCTTATTCTCATATTTGATTGTTGGCTCTTCGGCTACCTGGGCCTCGTTTAGCACAGGGAATAAGAAAGAATGTGCAGGCTGTGGTCTATTCAGTGAGGACAAGTTCAGTGTGTCCTTCTCAGGTTCACTTTGTGAGTCACTTTCAGATTCTTCAGACTCAGCGGGTTTGAGTTCATCTGAAGAATCAGACGCGGTTACCTCAAGATGCTCCTCCTCAGCTTCTACCTTCTTGTCATGCGAAGGAGAGCTCTGTGTTGTCATTGTTGTTACATCTGCTTCTTCAACATCCTCATACGCTTTCTCTGATCCACTTTCAGTCTCTAATGTTTCAGCTCTTTCTTCTGCTTTTTCTTGAGATTCCTGGTTCAGATGTGATTGAGCTTCTATATCAGCGACCGATTCTTTCTCTGTCTCGGCTGATTCCTCTGTCAGTAAGTCCTGAGTTTGAGGCTGTGCGATAACACCAAAGATGTCTGTGGACACGCTAGCCACCAGCTCATGGATCCCCTGGAGTGAGTCAGTGCTCGTTGATTTCAGCAGCTGAGTCTCACTACTCTGAATACACGATTCGCTGAGAAACTGGTCCAAAAATCCAGACTCCACAGTTGATGAAGACATTTCTGTGTCACTTACTGCCTCAGATTCCCTACTAATGGCCTCTGCTAGTGACACTTTCTCATTCTCTGTTGATATTTCACCCTCATTTAAAGTGTCTGTTTTGGTGTCCAATAGCTGCCCTGGCTTGGGCTCTTCTTGTTTAATCTCATCAGTGTCCTCTGACATCACCGCCTCAATCCACAAGTCAAGGATTTCTTCATCAATTACGTCTTGATGTCCACTGACTGAACCACCTTTTCCCTCTGATGACGTCACTGGCAAATCCTCTGGTCTGGGCTCGTCAGCTGTTTCAGCTACTATTATTTGTGTCTCACTTATCTCAAGTGCTCTGTGTGGCGACTGATTGTTTATCTCCTGAGTCTCAGAGTGTTGAGATATTTCCAATACTGCATTCAGAGGAATCTCTTTGTCTCCTATTTCTGTGATTAGCTCACCTGCAGTTTCTTTAGTTATCTGTAGATCCATTTCATTTAAGGTCTGGATTCCATTTTCTGCTTCCTCCTCTTCATCTTCACAACCCCTTCCTTCTCTTTCAATGGCTTTATCTTGCATTTCAACAGAGCTATCATCAACTGATATAGGCTCAGTTTCAGCTAAGGGTCTCACAAACCCATACTCACTCGTGTCTTCTTGTAAACTTAACGGCCTGCTGATGCTTTGATCCAACTTTATGGCTGCTACTGACTCCTGAATGACCAATCCAACCACTTCTGCTGCTGCAACCGCTTCTCTTGTTTCACCTCCTGTAGATCCTCTGCCACCATCATGCAGCCCTTCTGATCTCCTTTCAGTCTCGTCCACTAAACCAACATGTGTTCCAGTCACCTCTGTCTTCATTGAACTTGTCAGTAATTTTCCTTCTTCTTTGTCAAGTCCCGATTCTTGAATTACTCCTTCAACAAGCTTTCTCTCTGCCTCTAGTTCAAGGTCCGGTGTTCCTTCGTGCTCCTCCACAAACAAACCAAAGCTCGTCTCAGTCTCGTCTTTGCTTTCTTGTTTCTCTTCCATGGACTCCTTCAGCAGTAAATAGTCAGCTCCAGTCCTGCAGCCACTGTTTTCAAGGCTCTCCTGATCTCTGCTCTCCACCTCTTCTGGTAATTGAGTTGCCGGGATTTCCTCACAATCTCCTGCTTCCAGGAACCTTTGTGTTGTATTTTCACCGGCCCCCTGAAGCTCATTGTTATATTTGGAAACTCCCTCTTGAATTTCCTCACACGTTGGAGTATTTAGTTCCTGCAGCACGGCACACTGGCCTTCACTGATCCCCGGGAGAGTGTTTTTAAATTCTTCGTCCGTTTCCTGCGTCGTCTCGCCTTTGGGCTTTACTGTAACTGAGGTGCTTGAATCTATAATTTCGTTGTAAAATTCTCCAGTGTAGGATTCACTGGAGACGCTCTCCTCTTTTTCTTGGTCTTGATCAATGAGTCTCTCTTCTGCTGAAATATCTGTTACTGTCACACCGGTCTGCCTAGTTTTGGTCTGCACTCCTGGGACTCTCATATCCTCCTCGTATTTATCTGTGAATCCAGCTGTGTGCAGCTGTGAAGCAGTCTTCAGTGCAGCTTCTTTACCGGATAAATCATATTCAGTTAAAAGATTTTCTCCTTCAGTGTCTTCTGGCACTTCTGTTGTCTCGTTGACGGCAGGCCGCTCTGTCTCAACCCACTTCTCTTTCTCACCGTTATCATTTTCACTGCTATGAGTCATTGCATAAGATTTTGTGATAACAGTGAGCATATCCACTGATGTATCTGGCTTGTCTCCAAAAGCTGAGAGCTGATTTTCAGCTTGACTTGTTTTCTCCTCTGACTTGATTACATTTTGGGAGTCCAGCTGTAGCATAACATCACAGGCTTCTGATTCTAAAACTTGATTATCTTCATGCTGCATTTTATCATCTTCTTCCTTTAACTCAGTTTCTTCAATGTTATCGGTCATTGGATGATCTTCCAGTGTCATTACATCATTTTTCTGTACCTCTGCCTCCTCTTCTGGACTTATATCTGTACCTATGCACACTTTCACCTCAGTGTCGGTTTTATCATTGTCCTCTGC